TGACAATCAGCTCCATCCTTTTTATTTTTCGCAGTGCCACATGGAAATATCTTGGGGGAATTGGTGTCACCCGAACCGAACTGGACCGCCCAATAACATCTACGTACCGTAGCCAGGTAGATATGAGGGAAATATATAATATGATGACCGTTACAATTGATGCCAGACCAAGGCCGGATCCTTCTCTTCTCAATCTTCGTCTTGGGAACAGGTGCCTCGTGAGATGATCAGAGAGTGGTCGGTGCCCAAAATCCGGAGGGGCAATTTCAGCGGTGGACTGTGTTGGTCACCGAAAGATATGGCGGATAAAGAGGAAATGCCGATACTTGGGGGTAAAAGTCTTAATTACCAAAAGACAAAGAACTGCGCAAAGGGGTTCAAGAGAAGGGAGGCGAATTAAATAAATATATCCTTTCTTCCTTGGCTTTCACCTTATTTCTTCCCCTAAACTCTTCGTATGTCTATTCTCAGATCATCGCGTTTGGTAGAAGCAAGTGAAACCAGGAATGGAACAAACATATGGAATGGCCGCAACACCTGATTGATGATGAAAAAAAAGAGGCTTGGAATGGTTTATCCCTCTCCAAGGGCTGGTATATGAATAACCTAACTGGACAGTAGTACGGAACTTTACATACTCTAGACGTGCTTGTTGTAAACACCTAAGCCTCTCAAGTGCATTCCTTGAGACTGTTGGTGCCCATCTAACGCTGTGATCAAGCTTAATCCAGCCCATTATTGACAAGGTACCCCCTATCGTCATCTTCGATTTCCTGGTGGACTTAGATCGATGGTCAATTCTCCCAGAGTATCTAGGTGAGGAAGAATACAGACATCGCAAAAGTCTAAATCTAGGGAGATTACGAGTGTGCTGTATGCACAGTACATATCGAACTCAAAATGGAGGGAGGAGATACACTGGGGAAAAAAAAAAAAAAAAGAAGAAGAAGAAGAGGAGGAGGAAGAAAACAAAAAAAAATTTGGAGATTTGGAGAATTAGAAAACAGCACAGGTAGTCTAAGCTGGAGTCTCGCATAGAGGGATCGAGATAGCGCGAGGTATGCATGATGTGACCCAAGAAGCGCCCTCAATCATAGCCCCACACAAAAGCAGAAGACGGTGAGAAGCGATCAATGTTATGAGGTTGTCAGTTGGTCGTTGGAATCAAGGGTCATACCTTAGTTTTCCAACACCACACATGCATATGTAGTAGTACGTACCCTGTAAACTAGCTTTTTACATGGATTAAGGAGTCAGGAGGACTGCCTGATTCAAAAAGGCGGAGAACTACCCTCATTATTGTGAAACTTTAGAATAGAAAAGAAAAAGTCATTCTTATATCTTTAGAGCTCATTATTTTTGTTCTTTACCGTATTTCTTATCGGCACTTTTCCTTTATCTGGCGCGTTTCCTGGTTAGATAAATTTTTGAACATGTTGCTGAAGCTGAAGCGCAAGCGCATAATAGATCACTCAAGAAGCGTCCCTGTCAATTAGGTCCTGTTGACTTACATATGTACGCACATACCCCATAAAGTACTCCAGATGTAACCATATGTACATACATGAATAGTCCACCTCACTACTGTTTACATAGCACAACTCCACGGTCAAGATCAAAACATACAGAGTATTTGAAGCGCATCTGTTCCAATCAGCAGGAACCAACTGCTCCCCATCCATGGTGCAACCCGGTCGGGAACTGGTAAAGTTACGGGATGGTTCCTTTGGTACGCATACCTCAGGTACATACATACAGTACCCGTATCTTCCAAAGTTCATTTGGTCACGGGTACAGTCACGGGTGCTTTCCTTAATAGTAGTAAAAGGGGAAAGGCTCATGTCTGAGTCAACTACTAGTATCATGTATCCCTCGGGTTACACTCGGAAAACAGCAATGCCATAATCGCCGCCAGTAGTTACTACGTACAAATATTGCACAGAAAAAGACTGCATGTCTTCTAGAGCCTACGTATGGTGTGAAGTATATAGTAGCCCCTATCCACAGCTTCACCAGGAGTTCTTGGGGACTCTTACCCCATCCAGAGATATTATACGAGGAAACTCCCCTTGCAGTATATTCCTGTATTTTGTACAGAGTACCGAGAGATAGTAACTCCTCTGGGCAGTAATGATAATATTAGCACTATAGAGCATCGACCTGAACTGGAAAGTCCTTAGTAGATCGGGTAACTCCCATCTTTCGTTCTGTCGCGTATTTGCCCCATACAGAGCACCCTCATCCTATCAAGAGCCTGAAACTAATGTAAACAATGTTACAGGGTATTTCAACGCGGATCCCGTACTGAATGTGTATTATCCAGTCAATAATAGGTACCAGAGCCCGACCGTCATCCGTTAGTGGGGTTCAGCCCCATCTGAAGACCACTTTACTTTTGACAGAACGAGTAAACAGTCACTTAAGGACCCAAAACTTTGGCTGGGTTTTCTCGGCATCGGAAAAAAGGAGGGGCAGGATGGACGGCATGTCGTAATGGATCATCAAGTGTCCGGCGCTCCGGCTCTCCATTTTTTTGCCACTTTAGACTCATCTGTTTCTTTCTCTGTGTGGACGAATACACATACCCATGAATACTCTACAAGGGAAAAGAGATCACCTCGACCCGGGTGTATCCATATCAGACCGTGCTATGCCTTCCCACTGAAGAGATTAAATTAAACCCTACGTGGAATTCCCCTCCCAATTCAAGCATGGCCCAAACACCCAACCTGATTGAACCATGTGCTAGCTATAACCGCCACCAATTAATTCTCTCCAGGCGCCATTCCCCAAGGACCGCCAAATCCTCCTCTCTTCTCCCACCGGTTGATCCGCAATTTTAACTTTACCTAATCCCGTCTCCCTGGTACCATCCGTCGGTTGGCCGCATAAATTTCTGGATCTTCACTTAGTCGATAGACCGCCTCATCGGGTAACTACGAACCCCATCAGCCTCCACAATTCTAGCTATGACATAGCCCATACTGGCTTAGGTATGTTTCACACACTGTAGTCGATTTGGGGCGGAACAGCGTCGCACAACGACTCGCTCAACCTCGATAACCAAAGCCCCCTGACTTTAGTCAAGGTTTTGCGATGATGTGATCCACTGCCAAAGTTTTCTACGGGTGATGTGCATGCATGCTGTATGGCGCGTCGAACGGTAGTATAATGGAGCGCCGGACGTAAGGGATGGCCCCATACTGCACATCATCGTTTGTCTGAAGATTATACAGAGTGGAGGACAGTACTCCATCACCGAATATGGATATTTGAAAGGAATAGTTACACTAAAGTCACGGTTGTTGGTCTTGACAAAGTCACCGGCAATGGTTGGCTTCTGTCTAACATAGAAACTTGGCATGGAGGGAATAGAGTTTCTCCGTGGCTGGAAGCGCAAAAGGTGATAGCATGTCACGATATTATTTGAGTTGTCTGCGAGGTTTCTCCCTTTCTTCGGTTTTTCTATGGAAGCTCAACCCGCAAATTCACAAACCTTGGTAGAGCTCAGAATTAATGCAAACCCGATATACACCAATTAGAAAACGCTCATGGATACATGTATCACAGGACCCATCAGTGGCAACGAGTAGCAACCATGTAATAGGTAAAAGAATATTTGATAAAGATTAGGCATAGGATGTGTTGTTACGAAACACTGGTTACTGCAACGATTCGCACCCGATTTGTAATTTACTAGCCGAAAATCCGGATCACATAAACCATGAGCACTCTTCTTGAGATGCCATGATTATCTGCAGAGCGAGCAGACCAAGACATGGAAAGCCACTTAAGATATGGAGTAAATAAGGAGGTCCTAGACCGGCTGGTACGGCTGACCACCGTCACGAGCTTCAAGCATCCAATTGAAGTCATCTCTGACTTGCAAAATATCGGTGTACTCCGTAGACCAATTTCATGTCTCAGGGCAAATTTAGGTGGATATTCGGTGTGCACCTGTCCACCCGAACGGCCAACAGTTTGTGGATCATTGACTTAATAGAAGCAAAGTTTATCTGTCGTTGAATAGTATACCTGCCGCATAATGACTGAAACTTGTCGGTCAGCTAAATTTCTCACAGGCAATTATTGCTCGTATAACCCCAGCCCCGTGATAAACTCCGTACTTCTTTAATTGACAGCGGGATGGACCGCCCGTCTGACGAGCTCCGAGGGTCTGGTTCAGGGCAGATCTTAGTCCTACTTACTTGGGTAAGCACAGCGAGGTAGGTTACATTTCCAAAATTGGGAAGTCGAGATATTATTGGTGGTTAGTGTTGACAAAAAAGTAAGGCTGGTTAACTACCAACTAATTAACCAGCAGAGATACTGCAGATTGGGTGCCTAGCATGGCATTATCATATTGATGTAACACTCATTTCATTTTCTTTGTAGCCGTAATAGTACAGGTACCCTGGTTCTACTCTAGTCGCACTACCAACCCAAAGCAAACGTATTGCAATCGAGCACATTATACTTGTGTCCGACAACCAGAAAAAGACATGTTTAAGATATGTTGGTTAATGCTATCGAACACCTTTCGGGGATCGGATCTTCATGTGGAATAGCTCGCGATACTAATTTCCCACCCTAGCGGCTATGTGAAATCAAGCGCGCATGAATAATTGACGATTAACCAGCCAAGCTGAAACTAAAGTCTCGCTATTGAGTTACCAGTTTAACTGCAGATCTGGTTTGGTTGAATTTTTGTGTGCCATACCGACATTGTCTAGAGCCGATGGAAGCAATCAGTCCATTTTACCAAAGTTTCTTCTGTTGCCACTCCCTGTATACCGCAGTTGTATTTCGGGTGCGCTTGGGATACAGCATCAACCCTGATGACCTACCTGTGTGGATATGTTTACCGAAATTATGTACCCACAGCCACGTGGTCTGCGCGTCTGTAAAATAAGAAATCCGGAAATAGGCCGAAGAAACGTTCAGAGGAGAAATTGACTGGTAGTGTATCGACTGTTGTAGGCCTATACAACTGCGAATTTTTACTGGCGGACTGTATGATCATTAATAAGGGTGGCGACTATGAAAATGGACAGCTCCCACAGCGTAATTTGTATCAAATCAACCACCCATTTCTTGGCCACCTCCTTACGCGAACCATGATCAGACCCCATCTATCGAAGGTGGTTAGGACTTGGGCCTCCTGGTCGAGGTGAGGGGTAGTATCGTACTCCATACCAAACCATGCACATATTTCCAACCCACATTGTGTACCTACCTGATCATTTCCCATTTCCAGGAACAGATCTCCTGATCTCGCTGCCTGCATGTGCAGTGCACCCAATGCTGCGACGATCAACCTATGTCGCATTCTCGTCCCACACATTCAAAATTCAAGTATGTATGGACACGAGCAATAATTCCAAAAAAAAAAAAAAAAAAAAACCTTCTGTTGTGTCCAGTCGTAGTCGCCCATTTATATTTGAGTACAACTACTACCTTAGGCCAGTAACGCTACGCCCAGAGTGACGGAGCTGAAACAATAGGAGTTAGATGACCATACTTTTACCACGTCTTTATCTTATAAATACAACATCAATATTGAATTAAAATGCTTGACCAAGATATTTGAATTTTGATCCTTCACATGACTCGCTAGCTGTGGAGACAATCTTAGGAGTGTCTCCGCAGGTGAAGATGGGCAATAAGCCAGAGCCCAAAAAATGCCTGCGAATTGACCTCAGCGAACCTAATGAGACTATCTGAACCCTAAACTCAAAATCAAATTGAGAATAGAAAAAGACAAGGAGGAAATCAATTTGGAATGGAGTTCTCGGAAAATTCCCACGGCTACACCATGCTGTATGACCGTCTTCTCTCCATTGTTTGTTGAGGGATGAGATGTGTAACTTCGGCACCGCCACGACTACACTTTATATTTCTTCCATTATAAACGAAGGTTGGCTCTACGACTTTAATTTGTATATACCAATCATTAATTCTCTGCACACCCTTTGTTTGTGAAAAATCGCCACTGGTACAACAGCAATACTGTACTCCGTAGTACGAAGCAGGGTCTGTGTGTTATTCAACCGCCCTAAATCAGTTGATGCTTAAATTGCTCCTTGATATCTAACGCGCCCCTAACAAACTATGTTGACCCATGGACCTGGTTAATGGGCTCGGGAGGCTTTTGAGACGCTTGAGGGTCGGGAATATGACAGCTCCCGGTGGTGGCCACCGTACGACCAAAACTAACCCTTTGCGCCCAACTTATTGACCCGTTTTACTGGCGGGCACTGGGGCTTATGGATTCTATAGCCTTTAATTACTCCGTATATGGATGACGGAATATATCGCTCCATGTATTCCGCACCATATCGTTGCGATTCCACCAATGTGAGAACCGACTCAAGGCGCGCGTTCTCCATGACGGCCGTGGACCTATCACATTCCCATTGGTCTGGAACCTCAATAGCCTTTCATCGAATTTTGTTGTGGTTCTGGCTCCGAACAAAACCGGAACGGCACGAAGAAACTAACAGGGGACTTTGGTGGGGAAAGCCATGTCAGTACCTACATGATGTAGACAGATGTCCACAATTGCATATATATCTAAGTATCGTTGTTGAGCAATCGATTGATACTTGTTAGGCGGTTTATATCACATGCATTGCTATTGCTGTTACCGCCCACTTCTGTAGCCATATAGTTTGACATATACACTTATGTATGTATTTTGATCGTTTATGCATAGGATACTCCGCATTTGATGAAGGTGTAGGTATGTCAAGCTAAAATGCATGGGAAGCTTGATGGTTAACGCGATTAGAGCGGACTGTACAGAGTAGCAGTGATCAATCAGGCTTTATTTTAGCAGCCATGCAAATCGCTCAATCAGGAAATCGCGTGGGAGATTATAATGGATGAAGCACCCCAGCAATGGAAATGGCCCAAGCAGATACCTAGACAAATCGGTGCACTTTCATTCTAGTTTAGTTTGTAGTTCCATACCCTTACCGAGGAGGCGCCCAATGGTAAGAGACAATCATACGCGGAGAGATCACCACATGGACAAAGCTTCCCGTGTTGAGCGTCCACTGGCTGTCGTGTCGCAATTTGCGAGCAGGGACTAAATTCCTGAGTTTCCCTGATTGGAAGTCACATTGGTCTTGTTGTGACATAATATCGTGATGTTCATACCTTCATACTGTTTTAGGGCTTCTTCGAGAAACTCCCGACCCAATGGACTGGTCTGGAATACCGTCGACTTCAACGAAGCTATGCTCAGGGGGTCATGCATCGTATCTTCACTTATTAATAGCAACTCTCGTTGCGAATTACAAAAATGACGATACACTGCACATGGTTATATTTATCTCTTTGTTCCCTTTCGGCTTCATCATCCCAAGAGGAAGAGAAGAGTTCCTATCCTACTGCTATGCGCCACGACAGTGACTAAATTATGTCCACAATCAACATGGCTCGGCATAACATCTTCTCTAGCTATAGCCCTACGTGTAGCTGCGCCACAATGATAATCCTACAATAGCTCCTTTGCCGAACGTATGATATCACTGACACCGCCTGTACACGGGGTAAATTTTCATTGATTTATCGAGAACGGAGTTCTTATCCGAACTCCACCGACCCCATGGGCACCAATTGCATGGCTCGCACAGACATTAAAAATCCGGTGTTAGACGATCAGAGCATCACTCTATAGAGATACGAGATTGGCTGACGCCTGTCTCGGTTAGTTACTGGCGATGCTGAATTTCAGATACACAATCAGTAATTTCAAGTCTCGCTGAGAGAGGCAAGGATATTCCGCCGATGATATACCATTTCAACGCTGGGAATTAGTGCCTTTGCCGCCTGACACGATGAACAAATACTAGTAGTATTGTCACGTCTTTTCACATCAGATTTCATGACCCGTAGTGGAGGGATTGGTGGGGTAGCTCTGACGTAGCTTAGTTCTCTCCATCTCTTTCTGAACTTAACCAATGTGTTCTCCGACTCGGCCGATGCACTCGAGTGGGGTTTCTTGGTTTGACTTAGGAGAAACCAGTCAATTGTCTCTTCATAGATATCTCTGGTTAGCTCTTATCTCTTTCGAGTGGAGGAAACCCCCGCTGTTAGTGGGATAAGCACTCTAAGATCATTGTGCTTCCAGTCCAGCGGCGTTCACTCGCCTACGACTCTTACTCAGGTATTAGCAGTTCTTCCGCTGCTTAAATGGATATAGTTACTATGCAAAAAGGAGTACCCACCAGGCAGCAGATGTCTCATCAATAGGAGTCTCCTCTATCGCACGTCAACTCTGTCTGAATCAGCAAATGAGACCCCGCTTGACAAATAAGTCTTTTACTCAAGCTTCACACCTCCTAGGTGACTATGTGGGGCTAGCGAGGTAATTAGATATCTGATGGTCTGTTTCTCCAAATGGCTCAAGAAGTCAAGGTCAAGCAAAATTGACTTAACCCTCTGGTTCTGACTATGCCAAAGAAGGCCACTGGGGTTAGAAAGCCAATGAACGGCAGCATATCTCCTCTTGTTATCAAGGCGAACTGACGACAGGTTCGAACAAATACATAAAAGGGTAGATGACATAGCCAAGTATGACATGAGCCTTTGCTTCCTTGGACGCTTCCAGAATCCACATGCCGCGCCGATAGCCATAGAAAACAGAGCGTATAACTTACCAAAGCACTTGAGGCCTTGAAAATGCATACAATATGAATGTCTAGTATAGTGGGCGCTGGTGCAGTCTCTCTGAGCCTGCCAGATTGTCAACATAGGAACCATGGAGGATACTAGCATGGGATATAATAGCCTTCGGAGGTTGGACCTTGATACAAGTGTTACTATCATTCGACCTATGCTCATTGTTATGTCAATCGTAGAGCAAAGAACCATCGTAGAATAGATATCTGACCACACCGCGATAATATCTTCATTGCATGACTTTGGCAAAGAATACAGCCCGGAAACCGCTCGGCGATCCTGTCTCCATTTGAATGCGAATCCTTCACTGAGCTTTGCCTCCAACAACCCCAGCAACGGATGAGACATTAGGGAGGGCGATTCCCTTTTGTACCAGTGGTTAGGATGGAATCTAGTCAAGGTGCCAATGAGCACGAGCAAGAGAACCCTTCGAATCTAGTGGGTGATCAAGTGACAAATTTTAGAGACCCAAGGCAAGTATAGAGTGGTGTATAGTTGAAGTGGAGAGATAAGGCAACGAGAATATGTGATGTCCTAAAATGGATCACATTACCACTAGTAGCCTGGAAATCAAATATTATTGCTTGACATAATATCTCTCCTATGCATAAATAGTCTAAGTTGTCCACTTTCAGTAGTTGAGACTACCAAATCTCGCGAGAAAACGGGTGGATAGAAGCAGTTTGCCTTTCTCCGGCAGGCAGACACGAACAAACCCTATTGAACCTTTAACTTAAAAGAGAATATTAGCTCAAAGAATTACATTGAATAGCTCTATGTCTCAGCAAAACCACTATACCCCTGGCATCACGTCTCCTGTACGATGAGTTGACTCGTCCATTCGAAGAGAAGTACACGTCAAATCCGAGCGTCGAAAGCTAAACAAGATCAAAACAAATCGATCCGAGATAGATGCACCAATGACTGAGCGCCGATTTCGTAATTTTTGGAATTGTAGAGCGCCTACAGATTACTTGTAGGGTCAATGTATGTGCGTTGCTCATGATTTACGGCTCATATTTATATTATGTACATGTGAGAAAGCATGTGTATCCCTAAGCCTACTTGGTTGGAATCTTGAAATCACTGTGCTCGGGGTGTTAGAAAAATTAGCAAATACGGCTTTACCATATCCTACAATAAGGATTTGAATCAGAATTAGGGAATGTGGGCCCTACGGTCCATATAGTATAGCTGAAGTAGACCTCGTTATGCTTGTATATTTTAAGTGCATCGAGGTATTCCCATTTCGCTCTACACACATGCGTTGAATAGCACCAACGAAAAAGACAGCGCCTCAGTAGCCAGGAAGTAGGAATAGTGACTTTCTCTAGATGCACACATAACGAAAATATATAAACGATCATCAAAGCACCTATACAGCTGATCTAACGTGCCACAGAGCGTAGGATTCTAACGAATGTCGCTTAGAATGATATGTATCCAGTCTAGGGTAGCTTACTTAGTCAAAGACGACCAGAACTCGAACTATTGCATTAGGTGCCCCGCAAAAGGTGATGGAATATAGTCCATACCCCCTTGAACACTTCAAGCCGCTCCTCAGCATCGAACAAATCGTACCATTTCGTTCGCCGCAGCTGTAGCACATGCCACGGTTGTCCTGTAGCATCGATGTCGGAAGGAAAACAACTCACCCCTGAAGTTATGATGTCGATATATCGGCGGTGGACGCGCAAGTGAAGGATAGAGATATGATGGTTGATAGAGGAGAGCATATATATCTGCAACGGCTGGTCAGCATGATATTATAACTGCTGTTATGTGATTACTGACATCATCAAATGGGCTGTCTGGGTCCTTCCCAATCTGTATATATCTCATTCGCTTGTCCCAAAGACCAGGGCCTGGCTGAACAATCTTCCACTTTTCGCTGTTGCTCAGCTTCCGCGAGGATCCAGGTCGACGGGATGCTAAGAAGGGATGCTCGTACTTGGAGCGCTTGCGAGAGCTCCCATTGTCCAACACTGATTTCTCCTCACCATTGGTGAAGTTACCACTATCACCCACTGCATCATTGGGTGCACCACCCCATCGCGGCGTCGTTGTCCACCATTTTCCCTCGCCAGGTCTTACTTCTGTCATTCCTTGTCGTGCGCGCTCCTGGGCAGCTAGAAGCATGCCGCCAACCTCACGTAACAAATCACATACCTCACCAAATCCAGTACCAGGGACATCCCCCGGCGCTCGGAAACACGTTTCAGGCCGGCACTGGGCGGAAAAGACAGGTCCTTCCATGACTCCGCTTCGTGCTAGCTGTCGATCTTTAGGTGATCGAGCAGCCGCAAACGTGTGGCGAACAGGGAATAACAATGTTTGGAGGGATAGTCTCGGAGGTAGCATGGGAAGGGCAACTTGGCACCCAAAGGGCCAGGCCGCCATCTCGGTAAATGCCCTAATCGTCTCTTCGCGGATATCTTCCGGCATTTCATGACCGGCACCAATACGGCGGCCCGTGTACATTGCCACTGATTCAGGCTCACCATCCTCTTGATTAGTAACATTGTTTACCGGAGCTGCTGGGTTTGGTGGATTGTCAATGTCCATTTGTGTCTCCGATTTGTGATGGGACTCGCATGATGACGCTTTATTGTCCGTCTGCATCCTGTCTCCGGACTCGCCTTCAGTCGCCTGTTTGGGAGTTGCAGGACGTTCAAAATAGTTATCCAAGCTCGTGTCCCAGTATTGGGCCATTCGTTCTAGCCCCGTCCAAAATTTTCGCGCATGGGTCACTCGGACCCTTTGGCGTCCTTCGCGTGGGGGTAACCGTGCCACTTCTCGAAACGCATCGTCGTTTTCCAGAAGTAGCTCATCCTTCAGCACATCAAATCGCTCTTTTGGTGGATAAGGATTCCCATTTTCCAACAAGATCGGGGAACCATCTTCGGTTAACGGGGACGAATTGGGTGAAGTGTCCTCCCAAGGCAAAGGAGGAAAGAAATTTGGCCCATCCTTATGCACAATACATGAAGCAGAGAGGCCTGCTTCCACCTTCAAATTCAGTGCCTTAAATTTGTCGAGTGTGATATCTTGTGGCCTTCTGATGGATGCTAGAATATCATGTACCTGCCGCAAAGAGCCCTCCGGATCATCATCTGTGGCATCAGGAAGCTTATACGCTGGGAAGTCCACAGGCGTTGGGCCGGATGGAGCTCGTCGCTCCCTGTCAGGCTCTGAGCTCACTGAAGGGAGGCCTACCACAACAGTTAGCCCAGCAATTTGACAAATGTCAAAAATTTTGTATATGTTTGGCTATTAAGGGGAGCGCTAGGCGGATAATTGGTCTCGATGGCAGGCCCGACTAATTAGTTGAATAAGATTTCCCCCATAGCTCAGAAAGGTCGTTGGCGAGGCAGACGGCTGATAATTGTCGTTCTGATATAGAGCGACCGGGGAACCGTGGAGCATGCCAAGTTTAGAACATTAGATGCGATGACCTTCGTATACCATATAGTCCACACAGCTGCTGCGTCCGCAATTGGAGTATGTAGAATATTTGCAGTGGGCAACACAATGCACGGGGTGCAGCAAGGTGACGGTGAAAGAGGGGGGAAACCTTACCCAGCGAACTACACCATCCGAACATGATACGAGGCTTCTAACTAGAAACAAAATACTACTTTAGTTGAGGGGGGAAAAAAGATCAGTCAAGCAACAGAAGCTTGATTTGATGTTGGTTTGAAGTGAACGAGGCCGAATAATCACATCACATGCACAAGCAAGATGAGGGCTTGAGGAGGTCAGGTGCGGCGGGGGTTTGGTTAAGGATAGGGGCCAAAGGGTGGTGGGTAGTGAAAGTGTGGGCCAGAGGCAAAGTGACATAGAAGAACCAACCGTGGAATATGAGTAAGATCCAACCAAACAATGAGAATCTCGTCGTGGTAGCTTTGTTTTTCTTTTTTTTGGTTTGAGAGATAATCTAACAGGAAAAGGGACCAGAAGACATGGAGGGGGGCCAAAGTAATGGGCCGTTAATGGTTATGGCCTACTTCGGTTTGGGCGTTTTGCTAGTATGCGGGAGTGCGGATTAGTTCGTCCCTAGTGCTGGCGGGCTTCTTCGTGGGATAAGACAAGATTGGAGGTTAGACAATACTCCGTGGTTTACTACTGGTGATTTATTAATAACGTGGCCCCTGGCATTGCTGATTTTATCGCAATCCGTTGGCCACGCCAGATACGTACATACAATGTTAGGACTTGGAGAACAACCCCTGGGACAGTGATCATATATTAGAAAAAGACCAAAAAAGGGCGACCACGACGTGTTATGTTACTTGGACTATATGGTGCCAAGTACGTAAGTGATATGCAGCCCTCCATCCAAGGTAACCTTTGGGGACAACTTCTCCACCACGATTGTTATATGGCTTCCAATGGTGGCTGATAACCGGACAAATCAGGTGGAGTTTTTAAGAGATATTAAGTTGATCCCTGCCCTAAAATTTCGACAGGCCGATGGAAGAATGTGTCAAGACTGTTACTGACAGAGAAGCTGATTCTGTGCTCTGTTTGTCTCCGATCAATGGGAAATCTTAATGGTAGGGACTTGAAACCCACCGTTCTTGAGGTGGAGGGCAAAATAATCAGTTTTTCCTTTTTTTTTTTTTTTTTTTTTTATGCGATGGAAGGTCAAGCGATCGGCAAGTTTCGGACCGAGAGAAAGAGATACTTAGTTAGTTAACTACTAAGTTAGTAGAATGAAATCTGAGTCAGCAGAATCGCAAAGTACACAGTATGCAGTGTGCAGTGTGCAGTGTGCAGGGTTTCACATGACATCACCTGAAAAGTCGTGATGAGTCTAGTCTACAAAGGGCCTAGTTAATCCATGGACCCCACTCTTTTCCCAACTTCGCAGCCTGCGAGGTCTGCGACTGCAAATGCAAATGCAAATGCAATTCAATTCATTCAAATGAACTTCTCGTCTCCCTTCACTTCTTTTCTACTGGTTCGATTGCCGGTCGTAATCTCGGGTCACACATTAATTAACCTTCCGCCGGGGATGGTTTTGACGCTGACACTGACCATCCACCTTTCTTACCTCAGAAAGATCCCCCATGTTTCTTCACTAATCCATCCTTCAATGTTTTGTTTTGCGAAATCGGGGGCTGGGGGCTTAAAATTCCCCTCCCATGCAAATGAGACTAACGGCGCCCAGGTCCAATGTCACAGACCCCCTCTGTGAAAGGGATTGGATGTTCTGGATGGAAAGTGTTTCATCCTTTCCTCCGATGCGAGTCAACAGCCATTCATCCCCTGCGTAAGCTTCACAGAATAATGTTTTCCAGGTCTCTCTTTTATTGAATGTTATGTTATGGTCGGTCCGTGTTTGGCTACAAACGCCCTGTTAACCTCGAGTTTCATTTGAAAATTGTTCTCTCTTCTTTTCTTTTTCCTGTCTTTTTTTTTTGTTTCTCTCTCCTCGCTCGGGCTTGATTGTATTTTGTTCTCTCTTTTTTTTTCCCGTACTTCTCGAATCTATATTGGTGTGTGGTTGACATCCCACCTTAGCACCCCCTCTCTAGATCACTAGAGACTGCTTCACCATCCTATCCTGAAACGGGAGAATTCCGCACGAGTGAACGCCTCTGACACCTATTGTCATGGCTTGTTTTCTGCATTTTGTAGAGAGAGAAACATACTGAGAAGAATCTAACATGCTTGCATCTGTCTTTCCCTATTCATAGTCCTGGGTCTTCATGTTACACGTTCCTTTCGGTCAATCTTCTCACCATCATACGCGCTTTCCTGACAGAACTCATTCCTTACCTGTTCTCCTGTATTATTCGACGCACTACACCGAGCCTTTCCTGCTCTAGCAGAACGGTTGTCACGTCCATCTAGCCTGCGGGCTTGAAGACATGTCAATGTCCAGTCCTTCCATTATCTTCCACCAGGGCTTACGATGTACTAAAGTCCCGCGAAGATCCGCGGCGGCTGTGTCGCCTTCCATCGATCTCTCAATCTCGACTTCTTTCCTAATAACAACAACTTCGACCGACAGACCAATCTTAACTACAGATCCATCACCAGCCGTTGAGACATCCCAATTGAATGACCCTACTACGTTAAGCACAACACAAGTAACGGCATCGGAATCGAGTATAGAAACGCCTAGCACGATACCAACGCATCTACCACCTGTCAGCTCTTTCATCATCACCACTACAGTTAGTGGTCCATCCCCTTCAATTACCGAGGGTATTACAAAGACATATAGTCTACTGTCACCCTATGGCTCTGGTTATTCAACGCTAGAGCCAGTCGCGTCAAGCCTATCTAGCAATTTCTCAGGTTCAAGCTCCACAGAGGCTGTCCTAACGCGTACCTCCCGTACAAGAGGGCCTTCAACGGCGGCTACCTCAACGGTAACGGGAGATATCCTTCCTAAAAGTAACTCGGATCATGGAAATTCACATTCATCTCCAGACGATGGCTCACGTGCCTCGCTCCGAACTCTACTTGGCAGCGTACTCGGTGCGGTGGGCTTCATTGCAGCTGTATTCCTGATCTGCTTACTCTTATTCAGACACAGGCGGAGGAGATCGGGCGGAGGCCGGTACTTTGGAGGAAACGAAAAGCTTCTAAGGGCCGACCGGCAATCGGCAGATTCGTCGACTGGCTTACAGCACGGTTACGTTTCTGGAGGGTCTATGCGCTCGCAATACAAATATGCACCAGAAGCTCAGATGAGCGCATATTACCAGGATGATAGTGATCGAGCATCAGCGTGCTATTCGGATCCTTTTTCAGATACCGCAGAGTTACACGGAGGATTGCGAAACGGCATGCCTGGAATAGAGGATACTACTCAGACCCTATTCATGGACCAAAATTATGATCAACCGCCGGTTATTCCACGGGCAAATCGACCACTTCGAACAGTTTCCGATAGCCTTTTACCAACTGTCCATGCGAGGCAAAGACGGTCCGAATTACCCTTGAGCTCAGAGCACGGATCTATTTATAGCAGTGATCGTAGCTTGGGCAGCACCCTCATTCTTCCTGGGCGAAGTAGTCTAGGCAGCAGCTTGCAGAGATTCAGCTACCAGGTCTCGGTGGGAGAGCTTGAACCATGCGGTGCAAACGAGCTGGTGACTAAAATCAGCCCCCGCAGTACACGGAGTGACCCATTTGATTTGGAAGTTCCAGCGAAGGCGGTACATCCACTTGGTTCAGCGACGCAGTTAAGGCCCCAGCTGTAGCCTTTGATGTCATAGCCCAGGTGGTCATCGCTAAGGTCTTCCTAAAGAAGCATCAGCAGTGAAGCAGTGGGGTGTCTCTGCGGTAATATACGATATATGTGACACGAGCCATGAACTTCTCTTAGGTAGGCATTGAGAGATACATGGGATGGCTGCATTTGTATTTTTCTTTGATATGATTCGCAGTATATTGTACTTTTAACTTTTCTTCCACCTCAGCCCTAAACTGGGCAAGCGATAACCATGTACGATACTCCATGATGTAACATTAAAATTGTTGAATGTTGCCAGTTTCTGATATATATTTATTGACTATGACTTCATCGGTGTGCTGGTTGGTTAAACATAGGTCCACGCTAGTTTACCAAAAAAAAAAAAAAAAAAAGCCTTTCAGGTTTTACAAAGAGACAACCTCCAATAAGGTTTAAGAGGGTACTGCGTTAAGCATATTATTTCCTTTGAATGTGGGTTTATGTGAACTAATATTGCTCCCTCCTTTCTTTCGTACGTAGGGGCCGCAGCGACGAGTTCCAAAAATATATCTTTGTTAAAACTCAAATGATCACTACTTCCATAAATAACAGAACGAACAAAGGGGCTTCTTGGAAAGGGAGAATCACCTAAATTTCAGAGTACAGTTAATAGTTTGCTATTGATGCCGGGCAGACGACTATAGACAGAACGGGATGAAAAGAGGGGCAAGAATATTTGCAGTGATATACCCACCGTTATGTCTATATTCGTATTTCCCACCCGACTCCGAGGGTCTAGACCTACAGCCGCATGGTAGTTAATGTGCTTTGTGGAGATTCCATGGTTGAGTGTAGACGTGCGCCCACGCGGACGGTGTATCTACATGTACATCCAATAGCCTCATGCTGAACACAATTCAAATTTACATGACCTAACCCTCGAGTGAGATTCAGTAAAACGTTACGACATTAGGAGATAATATAGATGCGGTAGAGAACAGCCTGGTTTGGGGAGGTCAAGAGAGAGGGTGGTTGAAGGAGTTTGAGCATCCGGGCGTTTTGGGAGGATTGAAGAGCAGTTGAAGTAGAATGCAGATGAAAAATCGGAGTATTCGTATCACACAAAGCGCCATGCCATTGTTTTTGCTTTAATCAAATGGTATTTTTCATTCTTTTCCCTGGTTCTCTTTTCAGACGGCCCATGGAAGAAAAGAGATGCATTCATTTCCTTCTGTTTCCCCAAGCCCCCATTCCAGGTTCACCCTTGTACCAAAAACCGTCCCGGATGAATCAAAGCCATTGAGAGAAAACAGATATGGTCGACCTAGACTTTTCCTGTAGGCTGACCGAGACTCTTGATTTCTCCTCCCAGTTCAACCTCCGCACCGCCAAAACACGTTGTCAACGGAAGAGAATTTACTCCTGGGCCTCGCCGACCAGAGCATTGCGCTTGGCCTCGAGACGCTCTTGACGCCTCTCACGGAGAGCCTTGTTCTTGGCACGCTTGGCATCCATCTCCTCCTTGAGGACACGCTCACGGTGACGCTCAGCCTTGGCCTTTTGGATCTATTGGAAAATATGTCAGTATTCCGGTCGCCGCATCAAGTGTGTGGGAGTCCTGATGATATCGAGGGCTCGCGCATGAGCCCACCGAGAAACGGTGATTGACAAGGGCGGATTGGGCGGAAACTTACGTGCTCAACGAGAGCGCGCTTGTGCTTGAAGGTGTTACCCTTGCTCAGGTGGTAGAGCTCGTGGTAAAGGTGCTTGTCGATCTTGCCAGCAGCACGGTAGCGGACGAGGAGGCGACGGAGAACACGCATGCGGCGCATCCAGAGAATCTGGCTATATTACACGATAACCCATCAGTCAAACAAATTCCACCGCGGTATGACCCATCACGATATTGATCCATTGGTCGAAGACCAGCCAACAGTCATTCCTCGTGTCCAAGGGAAAATAAGATAACTGCATACCTGGGCATACGGGCCTCCTTGGTACCCTTACGCTTACCCAGACCGCGGTTTCTGCCGATTCTGCGGGCGGCGTTGAGCTCACGGGCACGGACGCGGGAGTGCATGGTAACGGGCTTGCGGATGATGAGGCCATCGCTGACGAGCTTACGGATGGTCTGGCGGGAGTTGGCGTTGGAGATCTCATTCATCTCATTGGGGTCGAGCCAAATCTTGCGCTTGCCGCAGCCCACCACGGAGGCGGCGAGGCGCTTCTGGGTGCGAAGGTTGACCCTGTGGATGAAAAACCGTCGGTCAGCATGAAGCCAAAATCCATCGAACAAATTTGTTTCCAAAGGAGTAGTCCCAGAGGGGCCGTATCGGGGTCGTAGTCAGGGCATAAAGACCACCGAAGAACAGTAATTCCCCAGCAAAGTCACGATATCACGATTTGGAGATGGACTCACATCTTGATGTCGGCGTATCGACGGTCGTTGGCGGATGATGTTCGTTGCACTCGTCGACGGGTGAGAATCCAGAAGTGAGGAGTTTGAAGATACGCCGGCTGATTAGCTCAGCAACTGTGCTCCTAAGCGAGAGTGATCCACCTTAGGGCTTGTGCCCCAGATCTTTTAAGCAGCCCCCCTCTTCCGTCATTGCAATGAACGTAGGTTGGATGGACGTGCCTCCAGATGTCCTTTCTGAGATATTAACCTATCGTAGTATTGTTCTCCCCAACTCCTCGACAGCACGCCCTTATCGTAATTTACTGGAAGGCAACTGACTGACTTTGGGATGTTCGTGGGGATTTCACCAATGGCGACCACGTGACCATACGCAGGGTGGAGGTTGACCGCCCGATAAGGACCGTCCGTCTATCAGTCTCTATCTACACTACTCTATCTACTACTATATCTACGTACTGTATGTACCTAGCTACTGTACATCCACACCATAGGAGGAGAAAGAAGAAAATCATGCATTGGTCACATCGTCATCGTCGTCATATCTACTCACCTATCTTCACTTCTTTTTGGTTTTTGTTTCCCTTTCTCATATAGACAACTATAGCCAAACCAGTCATCCTCCCGACAGACGACAACAGCAACTACATACAAATCGGGGTATAGATCTAGTTCATACAGCGTTGCAGAATAGAACTACCATAACAATCAATCATCCACGGGACCTCCCTCCAAATCCACCTTTCCGATACTCCACAACTCTTTCTCATCCTCCACTTCGTCGTTGGAGAGACCCAGGCCTCCTTGGCCACCCTCAGCTTCCTTGCGTTCCCGAGATTGGCTAGCCAGACGTAGCGCAATTCGTTTGAAGTAGTCCGACATACTTCGTTTAGGTCCTGGGGCAAGCTCGGCCCCGGGCCCAGTCATATACTTATCAAATACGGCACTCTCTGACTCCACGACTGAGAAGATGGCCAAGAAGGCAGCCTCGGCCGCCAATTTCACGGGGATAACCATGTCGCGAACGCTGGCGAAGATTGGTGGCGCAAGCAGAGCCAGATGGGGCCGAGTCAACTCTGGATGAAGACGGCTGACCGTCCGCATAACAACCAGCGCCAAACGACGCGTGTCGGAGGGTGCTCCTGGCTGAATGCACGGTGCCAAAGCTTCGAAAATAGCCTTGTTATTCTCAAAATTGCGATGCTCATCTTCGATCAACAGGTATTTTCCAGCGGCCAGAACACTGTTGTCGGCAATGAAGTTCTTTCGAGTGTTAGCGTCTTTTTTGGTGTGCTGGAATCGCATATTAACTCACATCTTTATTTGTCACGCCCTGACAAATAACCGAGATTGTTTCGACAGCGAAATTCTCCATCAAGGATGATGGAGAGTCAACAAGCAAGGCGTTGAGCCCCAAAATTGATGCATGCGTAGGGTGTGTCGTAAGCACACGGTTCCTTGCAATTCCGTTAGCTCCAGTGCCTTACAAGATCATCCAAAAAAAAAGGTTATCTATCGTGGGTCAAAAACA